CTCCATTGCTTCAAATCCTGTGTCCGAAGTATGTCCTGTCTTCAGCAATAGTGTCTTATCTTCACATTCTGGGAGGCAATCAACGGCTGTGGAAATAGCCTGTGTAATTTTGGTACTATCTTTGACAATCCTAGACTAGTCCAGAACTATGTAAACTCCAAGTGTGTCCAGATTTTACATTTTCCTGCTCAAGTCAGTATCCAAACCAAATTTCAGTGGCCAGCGTATCCTAGGTTGGAATTTCTCACAGCTGGTCTAGTGCAGTAGGTAGTTTGAATGGGTCCAACTAAGACTTCACAAGAGCACCTGGGATACGTGGACAGGCAGGCAGGGTGCAGGCCCTGAAGGCCCATGGACTGAGTTTCCTTCAATGTGTGATTACAGGATAATTGCTCTGATATGTAGTTGCTTATCTTTGGCCAGGATGAAGCACAAGGATGGGCAACCATACCCTTTTTTCCCTCGATAGCATCACCTTAGTTTTTGGTTTTATCCCACCGCATGTGGCCTGCCTCTATTTCTCCTTTCCAACCTCCTCTTGGAATGAGACAGAACATTTGTGAAGGGTCTAAGAATGATGGGGAAGAAGAATATCAGCCTTCATTTCTCTTTGGCGATTGTAGACCTCAGGAATCATCAGGAATTCTTTTTATAATATTATTTATTTAATAACCACAGGATTAGAAGAAGCATTTTGTTATAGCTTTAACATATTCAACAGCAATTTCCAGAGCAAAGATGCATCACTTTCAAAAGTGGCTGTAAATGTTCAAGTTCACAGTTGAATTAATACAGTTATACAGTATTGATTGCAGTAAAGACCCTGTAAGACATAAAATTGAATGAGGTTTTAAACTTTAAAAAAGATCTCCATTTCATTTTAAAATATACTTTTTGTATAGAAAGACTCATTTTTTTCATTATAAGTAATTTTTGGTTTTTGTATTTTTTTCTTTTAAAAATTTTAAAAAATTATTTGTTCAATAAGCACCTAATTAGAAGAAGCATTTCATTACAACAGCATTGACATATTCAAT